TAGCCGAAAGTGCTCGGAATTACAGAATATTTGGACAGTTTCTCTTTGTCCAAAAAAGCAAACACTTGTACGAACACAAGAAAAATTAAATAAAAAGCTTAATCGTAGTACCTTGTCTGTCGTCTTTAATAAAACATGTATAAATGAAAGATTGCTGCCTAAATACACAATATATATATATATATATATATATATATATATATATATATATATATAAATGTCGTAAAATAATGGAATCCAAAGACATAATCGATACTAAAAACATCTTGATCGTACCCGAATATAACGAAACACAGAACCAGATCAACAAAAGTATTAATGATAGAGAAGCACAAACATATCATTAATAATAAGCTTTGCGATTTATATCAAGCAAATATTCTACTTCACAATAACATTGATAAATATATAAACCTATCCAGCCATAAATTAACAGATGACTAGAAGAAATTCCTAAATCTAAGACCAAATTGCAATCCCCAGCCTAAATTTGACTTCCTCACAAAGAAGACCAAAATTGACCCAGAAAAAAATTATAAGAACACAAGAAAAATTAAATAAATTATTGGATTGCAGTATTATCACAGTCGTTTTTAACGAAACTTGAATAAAAGAGAAATACTATGAAATATCCACAAATATTCTTAAATGTCTATAATTGGTAACAAAAGCCACTGGTTTATACCAACGGCTTCCCATACTTAATACTTCTCGAATTCACTCTCGCGTGGTAATGTGTGACGTCATGAGTCGCTTCCAGCGTCTTATATGCACGTGTTTATCGTTGCTTGGAAATCATCCATGTAAACAGAAACAGACTATCACTTTATTGTCCGTATATTGCATAATATATTGTACTGTAATTGTCATCTTTGATAATGGCTTATGTAAGCCGAAAGCTTAAATTGGATTAAAAAAATATGTATCAATATTGTGATTTTCTTTCTTCCTTTAATGATAATGTTATTAAGCTTATCAGACGTTATGAAAAGAATTTACATAAAATAAATAGACAAGACTTGTCTATGTATGAATGGAAAAATGCTGCCTAAATACACACACACAATATATATCACTTTAAATACCCATATTTGAGTAGATGCTCTATTAATTTTTTAAACAGTATATTTATTTTCGTCTTCTGGTCTGAATATTGGGGAAGTTTTGTTAAATATGGCATGATGAAAAAGACCCCAAACTTAATAAATACAAAGCTTTATCGTTAAAATATTTATGTTATTATTAAAAGGAAAAATCAAAGTATTTTTAATTATTCAAATATTTGTTAAAACCTTTCAAACACGTTCGAAATTTTGGTTAAAATTCTGTTTCTCTTTACGTCATCGACGTAAATAATTTTTACATTTAAGTGTTTTTGCGCTTTTCTCTCCGATGAAAAACACATTGACTTGGAAATTCTTGCAAAAACGATATAATTAATTTTAATGAAACTTTCAGAACTTATTCACAAATGAATGAAATTATTTTTGAAAATTTTTGTTTTAGAAAGTTTTGGTAAAAAAATATTTTTTTTTTTACATATGTTACACCCTACTTACTTAATTTCATGAAATTTAGAGAAATTAAATCGTATATCCTAACTTTTTTTATTAGTTAAAAGTAGAACTCCTTGGAGAATGTAAGTCATGTAATTTTTTTTTAAACTTTCGCTCGTTTTCTGAAAATCTGCTCCGAATGGTACCCCATTCCAAAAAAAAAAAAAAAAAAAAAAAAAAAAAATAAAACTATGACATTATTTAATTAGAAAACATTTTAATTGCTTTAGTAAATGAGTTAGATTTGGGAGATTATTGTTATAAGACAAAAAATTTTCGAGGAATAATGAATTTTTACAAGACTTTTTTCATTTTTTAAAAATTCTAATTATAATAATTTATCATAACTTAAAAATCTTTTAAAAATCTTCCACACCTTATTACTTTTAATTGATACTGTAATTAGAGTAGAAACTATATTTATGAATCAAAAATGGAAAAGTTTAATATCAGCCGTTTTGTACCAATATTTTAAAAATAATTTTAATTTTTTTTTTACTTTCAGCATTCCAATTTTTCATCTATGGTAGTCTATACGTAACATTCATCTTTTTTAAGAATTGTCCTCTTTTTACAGAGAAATTTGCCTGTCTCCAATTTGTTACTCATTGCTTACATTTCCACAGGTTTTGAACGTCTTCCCTTCAATTTTAAAACTTTAAAAGTTAAAGTAAGTTTTGCTTTTTCACTTTCTATTTCACGAAATATTTTTATTTTATTTTATGCATTTATTTTAGCGTGAGTCATAAATTATTGAGTTATCTCTATCATGGAATTTCATCTTAGTGATTAAATTTTAAAATTAATCTAAGAAAATTTTATAGCATTTAAAAAAAAAATTATAAATTTATTTAATAAATTTTATAGTATTTTAAATTCTATTATTTTTTCATAACGCATCTTAAAACGTAAAATAAAGTCAATAAAATAATAGATAATTGCTG